TGTCCTTCCCTCTCTTGAGCGTTAGATTTTTTTTTTTTTTTGGTGCTGCTTATAACTGTGATCTTGGATTTTTTTTGGCACTGCTTGTAACTTTGATTTTGTTCTTACCTCTCAAGCATTGGATTTTTTTTTGGCACTATGATCTTTTCTTACCTACCTTAAGCATTGGATCTTTTCTTTGGCGCTGCTTATAATTCTGGTCTTGGCTCTTTTTTTTGGTGCTGCTTATAACTCTGGTTTGGTTTTATCTACCTTAAGTATTAGATCTTTTCCTTGGCACTGCTTATAATTCTGATCTTGGCTCTTTTTTTTGGTGCTGCTTATAACTCTGGTCTGGTTTTACCTACCTTAAGCATTGGATCTTTTCTTTGCCGCTGCTTATAATTCTGGTCTTGGCTCTTTTTTTTGGCGCTGCTTATTACACTGGTCTAGTTTTACCTACCTTAAGCATTGGATCTTTTCTTTGGCGCTGCTTATAATTCTGGTCTTAGCTCTTTTTTTTGGCACTGCTTATAACTCCAGTCTGGTTTTACCTACCTTAAGCATTAGATTTTTTCTTTGGTGCTGCTTATAATTCTGGTCTTGGCTCTTTTTTTTGGCGCTGCTTATAACTCCGGTCTGGTTTTACCTACCTTAAGCATTGGCTTTGTTTTTTGGCGCCACTTTACTTTATAACCCGATCTTGTTCTTAAAATGGTGTATACATTTATCAGTAGAAATACTCTTGACCAAATCGTAAAAAAGTATATAGATAATCTTCCAAAGACAAAACAGCAAAAAGCCTTAATAAATAATGAGCTTTTAAACAAGATAAAGACCGTATTATTAAATCCACAAAATACTTTGCTCTATGATAAAAACATGCGATGTTGGGTTAAAAAAAAATTTAGATTGGAGGAAATTGTGTTAGGGGACTACAGAGTAGTTGTAAAAGCTACGAACAATCCTGTATTAATAGTTGAAAAATTTTATAAGGTTTTATGTCAAACCCATGGTGAAATAACGCAGCATGGCGGTCAGAAACAAACGTGGAAGTCCATTCATGAAAAATGGGGATATATTAAGCAAGAAATTGTGGAACAATTTGTGAACAATTGCACAGCATGTGCAGTAAGGAAACCAGCATTTCACTCTTTGGCAGCTAAACCGATCATTGCTAGGAATTTTTTGTCCAGGATGCAGGTATTATAAATTTTATTCTTGTGTTTAAAATTAAATTATATATTAATTGTATTTTATTATACAGATGGATCTTATTGATTTATCTTATATTCCTGATGGAGAGTTCAAGTATGTGTGTCATATAAGAGACCATTTTAGTAGGTTCTCGTGGACCAAGGCCATTATGTCCAAAAGACCAATTGAAGTTGCCTCCTACCTGTTTGATCTTTTTCATATGATTGGATCACCCCAACTATATTACAATCAGATAACGGCAAGGAATTCGTAGCACAAGTCATCAAGGAACTAATCGCATTATAGCCATCAGTAAAAATTATAAATAGGCGTCCTAGGCACCCTTAGTCCCAAGAATTAGTAGAGCATGCAAATGGTATCTTGGAACAGAAGCTAGAAAAATGGCGTAAAACAACCAGTAGAAGTGACTGGTCCTTTGGTTTGAGGTTCGTCGTGGTTGCAATGAACAATTCATGGTGCAGATCCCACAAGAAAACCCCTATGAATTGGTCTATAGAAACAAGCCCCGTAGTGATTGTACTCTGATAAATGAACTTTATACAAATAATATTTTCAACGAAGAAGAAATATCAGATACAATCGAGGTCTCCGATGCTGATTACGAAGCAAACCCGGATAATGGTATGACTGGTATTTAATGGAGCATTTTATTTAATTACAAATTTTTATTTTTTTTATATTATTTATATATTGTAGATTTTTTGCTTAACAACATTGATGATTCAGAACAATCACCTGATAGTGTTGTTTGTTCAGTTCACCCAATAATAATATTGGTCGTTCTGTGTCTTCGCCCACAAGCCCTGTGTTTTCTCCCAGAAGTTTTGTGTCTTCGCCCAGAAGCCCTATGCTATTACATGATAATGATGGTAGTTATATTGTGCTTTCTTCCAGTAACTATAATAAAAAAAAAAAGTATTCATTGTGGGTGTATATGAAAAAAAATATATATAGAAATGCTTATGGACATGGTATTAAAGGGACGACTACGACAATTATGCGCGGAGAAGGGGCGCATAATAAATAGTGAGCTAGTATCATTTTCTAACAATAATGTTTGGCCTTTTTAATAACTGTAATCTAGGTTTTTTGTCTGATCTAGTGTCTTTGCCTAATAATCGTGATCTGGTGTCTTCGCCCAATAACTATGGTCATGTGTCTTCGCCCAATTACTGTGATCATGTATCTTCGCCCAATAATTGTGATTATGTGTCTTCACCCAAAAACCCGGTGCTTTTGCATGATGATAATAGTAGTTATACTGTGCTTTAACTAACTATAAAAAAAAAATAATATTCATTGTGGGAGCATATGAAAAAAAAATAGTATTCATTATGGGTGCATATAGAAGAAAAAAATATATAAAAATGCTTATGGACGTGGTACTAAAGGGACGACTACGACAATTATGCGCGGGGAAGGGGCGCATAATAAATAGTGAGCTAGTATCATTTTCTAACAATAGTGTTTGACATTTTCAGTAACTGTAATCTAGGTTTTTTGTCTGATCTAATGTCTTCGCCCAATAATCGTAATCTGATGTCTTCGCTCAATAACCGTGGTTATGTATCTTCGCCTAATAACTGTGATCATGTGTCTTCGCCCAATAATTGTGGTCATGTGTCTTCACCCAAAAACCCGGTGCTTTTGCATGATGATAATGGTAGTTATACTGTGCTTTAACTAACTATAAAAAAAAAATAATATTCATTGTGGGAGCATATGAAAAAAAATAGTATTCATAGTGGGTGTATATAGAAGAAAAAAATATATAGAAATGCTTATAGACGTGGTACTAAAGGGACGACTACGACAATTATGCGCAGGGAAAAGGCGCATAATAAATAGTGAATCAGTATTATTTTCTAACTATAATGTTTTGCCTTTGTTAAATAAATATGGTTTAGTGTCTTCGCCCAATAATCGTGATTCAGTGTCTTCGCCCAATAACGGTAGTTTGGTGTCTTCTAATAGTTGTGGTTTGGTGTCTTCGTCCAATAACTATGGTCATGTGTCTTCACCCAAAAACCTGATGTTTTTATATGATAATGGTAGTTATACTGTGCTTTTTTTCAATAACTATAAATTAAAAAAATAGTATTTATTATGGGTGCATATAGAAGAAAAAAAAATATAGAAATGCTTATGGATGTGGTACTAAAAAGACGATTACGACAATTATGCGCGGGGAAGGAGTGCATAATAAATAGTGAGCCAGTATCATTTCTAACAATAATGTTTTGTCTTTGCTCAATAACTGTGGTTTAGTGTCTTCGTCCAATAACTGTGGTTTGGTATCTTCGCCCAATAATTGTGGTCTAGTGTCTTCAAGCAATAGCTGTAATGGTGGTAAGTTATTTAAAATATTGTTCATATTTTATTTTAGAATGTATGATAATTATTAAAATATCAAATCTAATTCTAGCTCTTGTTGACATAACAAATAATCTAAATTCTGAACAGCATGAAATGTTACGAGATGCAGCACGACGCAACCTTCAGCAGTATACTGATAAAATGGCGCAACAAATATTAAAAAAAAGAAAGCTTATTGATTTTAAAGTTGGTGACTTCGTAAGAGTAAACATTCCAAGGATTGATCGATTTAGTATTGATTGTCCTACCTTACCTTGCAAGATTTTGGAAAAAATTGAAGACAACCGATATCGATTGGGTTGTAAATTCGGGATTATTAATGTATGTTACTCCTCAGGTGAGCTTGAAGCACTTGGAACTACCACTTATGTTGAACTTAATAATATACCATCGAAACAAGTATCTATTCGTAAAGCGGCAAGACTCCAAAGTGTAGGAATGGTGTCGAGTTCTATTTGTAATTGAAAGGGTATATGCGATAATAACAGGTGCAAATGCAAAAAAGCAAATATGAAGTGTACAAGTCGTTGTCATAGTGGGCACTCTTGTTCAAATAAAGATTAATACATATATGCTAGTTTATTATTATTTTTTTTATGTAATAAAATGCAAGTAAAATTTTTTATAATAATTAAACACGTGATTTTAATAGTGCATCAATTTACAACCTACGCACGTTGGATCTAATCCGACGCACGTCAGGTGACCGATCGATAGATGATATGCGTCACCTGAAAATCAGCATCTGATGCGCGTCGGATTAGATCTGACGCAAGAATGCATCTGAGGCACAACATATATATATTTTTTTAATATTAAAGTGACCTCTTTATCATACTGCTCTTTATTCAAATATTAGTAGTATTTTTAACTGTCAGACATATCTGACAGCTGTATATATTTATAAAGTTAGTACTGTTAAAAAGCTTATTAAAGTCAGTCCTTGAGTCAACTTAGCATAGACTTTTTAAGTTCAACTCAAACCGATTTTTAAGTAAAGTTCTAATTATCATATGATTAATTAAAATATGCAGGGGTGCAGAATGTAGGGGTTAATGCAGAGGGAACCGTTATATGTTTTTTTTTCTAAACTCTATCATATGATAACGGTTTTGTGACTGTTATCATGTGATAACGGTTTTATGTAATAACGGTTTTTATGTAACGGTTTTTATGTAACAGTTTTTATGTAACGGTTTTTATGTAACGGTTTTTAGGAAGATTATTACCTGATATTTAAATATTTAATGGTTTTTAGATTAGGTGCAAATTTTGTAAATTTCATAAGTGATCTTTGTTTTAAAAAATAAGGTACGTATATAGTTAAAATCTCAACATAAATAGACATGAACCAGAGTATATGCGAATACTTATATAATTGCCGAAAGATTAAAAATTAGAAAACTGATTTATATGGCACAATTACTTAAAATAATGTAATATCTTTAAGCTTACTGAAGCTGCCTAGGTGGTAGAGATAAACTGAGTTTATTACTCAATATTCTTTTGGAATTAAATAATTCCAAATATTGTGTTCTTTATACCATCTTAGTTACGATATTACTGATATTATGCATCAATTTATTTTGCAATAGAGAAGTTTTTGATGTGCAAAAACTAATGTAAACTACTGTATTTAACAGATCCAAATCATTTTATAATGGTTCCGCATGTTATCAAAAGTTAATCTAAGAATGAGTTAATTAAAAACAACATAATAAAATAATTATACATGTTTAGATATGTATATCATGATTAAAGTTGCCTGCCGTAATAGGTTTACTAGGGTTGGAAGGTTGCAACCTTTCGTCTCGAAGTTGTTGTTTTTTTCCGTAATAGGTGCAATAACTGTAATAGGCGTAATTATAATAGTTGTAATGAATATAATAATCTGATTAGTAATTGCACGACACAGTTATACTAAACCAGATAGATATTAACAAAATTCAGTAATTATATAAAATAGATTACGGAATTAAAGAATATGAATTGCTAATTTCAAAAAACACCATGTGTGTACATACTAGGGTAGTAACTCAACTAAATAAATCAAAGCTATGTTAGCAATATTAGTATTTTTACAATGATCAGATTTTTTTAGCAACGAAATTAAAATGATCGATTAAATATTATTTTACTTTATTTAATTAATAAGAAAAGCACAAAATTCTAAATGATTCACCTTGATATCGCGCTTCTCATTCTAATTTTTTTTAACTGAAAACTTTTCGCAAGGACTATATCTAAAAGGTTATGTTTGATTTTTGCGAAAATTCTAATAAAACTTCAACTTGTATGTTTAAGATACAAAATTTTTCGCTCTAATTAATGAAATTTAGATGTTTTATAAGACGAATATTTAAAATTTATATATTAATAGAAAATTCTAAAACATAGCTTTATTCTCCTACATATAATAAACCTCTAGTAAAAATTTCTAGGTAATTCCTTGAGTTTTCAGCGAGCTGAATCATTTTAAAGTTGATTAATTTTTAATAAATATATTAGCAGTAATTAACGTTAAATTGATATCAATGCAATAATTGATTTCATTCGTGTAATGTGAAAATCTGTAATGTATCAAATTCTATAGTTTGCTCACATAGGTTTGATTTACTTAGTTGATTTACCACCCCCATACCAGACATAACAGATACCGTCTAGTTCTATATACTATTTAGTAAGACAATATAAAAATATAATGTCAAACAACATGTTCATGATTAAATATTTTTAGGATATTAATTATATGCAAGTCATGAATTAGACCATATGAATCTAGCAATAAAAAGTATTCAAGTCATGTATGATTGGTTGATTTGTGTTTTTTTAGATATGATAATTTTAGGTAGGAGAGAATTATGGAATGTTTTGATGTAGAAAATGAACGAATTGATCGTATAAGCAAGGTTGTACCAATATTTTTGATCCAAATTCGAATGATTTCGAAGGGAGAATAAATATATGAAGTATAATAAAGTGGGTGGTGAAATTATAAGTTTTTAAAAATTGTATAATTATTTAAGGATTTTGCATAATTTTAAATTATATTGTATTTATCGTATAATTGAATTTATTTCGCAGGTATAATTTATCTTACTGTATTACATAA